AAGAGAACAGTACAAAATAAACCCTTTAAAGGGGTCATGAACTGGCTTTTTTTATTATTTTATACTGTTGTCTGAGGTCCACTTATGACGCTCCCGTGGCTTTTCTACCTGGTTTTGAGGCCGGCTCGAGATTTTATGGGCGTGCCGCATTGAAGACTTGGAAGTAAACGCCCACTGCTATGATTGGATAACAGTTTTGCATAGTAAACCTTTCTGCGTGCCTGTTTGACAAGCTACGTCCTTCATAGTTGGAGCCGTCTGTAACTTTGGTTAGACACGTACACATAATCAGGACATATCAAGCAATTTCTAACAAAGCAATAGTGACACATAGTGCAAATATTTTTTACTTATATCTTTTACTTCACTCATAATTGTGCTGCGCCAATCCTGTTGGATCCAATATAGACAGCACAGCATTGCTTTTTAATCTCAGTCTCTCTGCAAATTCAGCATCGACCTGTGTCTTGTTTACAAAGGAATCCGCGGTGAAATGAAGCGAACAAATGCTCAATGTTTTACTCGCGTGAGCTGAAACTTCATTAAAGTTCAACCACGCATTCCTAATATTTGAATCCGAAAGAAGGTTATGCAGCGACCACAACCAGGCACTGCACAATATTTTGTGATTTTTAACGTCATGTTTATTGCTTGGTTGCTCTATCCGGTTTAGCGCCATGTTATGTTATTTTCCTACTATGTCATGCGTGAATTAGTGGGCGGGGCTATAGAATTAGGTGTTGATATTCTTCTGTGGAGGCGGTGTTTAACCTATCTATTACGTCATAGGTAGGCACATTCCAGGATCTGTCGTTCGCTGCGCCTGGTGTCAATAAAAGCTTTTATTTCAGTAACAAGGACGTTTTCAGTTCTGAAACTTACAGGATATTCTTTTAGTACGATGATCTCTTGTATATCAAAAGCTCAAGTAAAAGTTGATTTCTCAATTCATGACCTCTTTAAACTATGCCTGTCCAGTGAATATGAATTTATTTTCATGTGTTGTTCCTGTAGAGAAATAATTGCAATATATACAATAGTATAATTGAAAATTATTGATAATACAGTAATTAGCGGATTTTATTTTGTTAATATATTTACAAAGAAATTATTAAAACATAAGCATAAAAAACATTATTGTGACTTTATTTTCAAGACAAGTAAATTGCCATGATGCAAAAAAAATATCATGTTTATGACTGTAATTAAAAGTACAGTTTTTTAGTTTATGCTGATTAAATCATTTTTTATTTAATTTTATTGTATTTAAAAAAAAATTTAATACATTATTACAGTAATGAGAATCAATGAAATTTCCCTAATTGTCATGAAAATATAGTCAAAATGCAAAAAATAAAATACAATAAAATAAAAAAATACAATTATATATTTTTATATATTATAAATGTGCCATATATACTTCTTTTTCTTTTAATTTGGGGTGAAATACGATGCTTTCTCTTGGGCAGTTACTTCTCTTTAACAGTAACCTAAATTGACACCCAGTCACATGATCAACCGTAGACACCACAAACAACCAGATAATTAATTACAGTGTTTTGCTGTTCAACAGATCAGATTCTGCTGAACAAAAGACTTGCTCTCTTAGTCCGTACTGAAGTTCTGCATTTAATATGTTTGTTGTTAGCTCCAGCATTCAACTACTCCGTGTGTTTGAGCCAAGGTCTTCTGCTCTTCTCAGGTCTTGTTGCCTAGAAACCTTGATGACACCCTCCTTGTGTGATTGTTGCTGCTGCTCTCGGTTTCACTTGCACATAAACAAATCAAACTGGTTTCAATCCTCAGAAATAGTTAATTAGTGCTTTAAAAAGAAGGGACAGTTTGTATCCTCTTCCTGTGACATCACTCATTGCTCCTTTATTCTCTCATCAGCTGGTCCACAGAGATAAAGCGGATGCTTTGCTGCTATAGGGATGCTGGCGTGAAGTGCACTACGTGTTTGTGTGCAACATTGCGTGTGTGATTATGGGTAGGAAAAGGTAACGGATCCGCCACTGACGTAAGGTTTTGCCTCTTTGACCTTGTATAAACCACAGATCGTTTCTTGCCCTTGGGGGGCAGAGGCAGTTCAGTATTTTATCTTTTTAAAAACATGATTAGGCCGACTGGATGGAGATCACTTACATGCTCATAACTGAGGGAACATGAGCGTGAGACCTGCAGGTATTTTTCTTTTGTATTGAGCTTTGTGTTGAGCTTAGCTGTTGTAATACGCTAATGTTGAAAGTGAGAAGTTGGCTGTGTTGTAAGAACGTTGCCCGACTGTTGACTTTTTTTTGTGAGTGTTTAAGTGGTCAACTACATAAATAGGAAGAATACACACGCCTCCATGTATTAGTCACCGAGGTCATTTAAACATTTTGTGGACGCTTTTTCACTGTAACACACTTGTACGGTATTTCCATAATTGCTGAAATGTTTGTCAAGGAGCCCTCGTGCAAATTCAAAAGAGGGAAACTATCTTGAGCTGTTACAAATTAATAAGAAACAGAAGTTTTGTGACTTTAGCCCAGTAGTTCCCAACCCCGTTCCTGGTGCATTCCACATTCTTGTAGGTGGGGGGAGAGAATGACCAGCACTCTCTTCCACTCTTACCTTTGGACTTAAGTGTTCTTAAAAACTGAAGAATACTCTGGGCTTAAGCATTTGTGTAAAAAAATAAAATACTTTGGGCGTAAGTGTTTGTAAAAACCGAAGAATACTCTTGGCTTAAGTGTTTTTGTAAAAAAATCTAAGAATAATTTTGGGCATAAGTGTTCACGTAAAAACCAAAGAATACTTTGTGCTTAAGTGTTTGTGTAAAAAAATGAAGAAAACACTGGGCTGAAGTGCTCATAAAAACTGAAGAATACTATGGACTTGAGTGTTTGCGTTAAAAACTAAGAATACTTTTGTAACGTGTTGCTGCTGTCTAAATCAAGCGCTCACGAAGGAGTAGGAGAAAAGGGTATTTAATTACAAATCCACTGGAGAAATACAAACACACAGCATAACCAAACCGTCCAAATACAAATAATAGCAGACAGGGAACTCAGGAACAGACAGAGCTTATAAACACGTAGAAAGCAATTAGGGAGAACAGAAACAGGTGTGGAGCTAATTAATCAAAAACCATGGAAACTAATTAGGCAGGATAACGGAAACACAGAAAACTAAACCAAAATAGATCATAACAGTGACAACTTTAAGCTTAAGTGTTTTTAAAAACCAAAGAATACTCTGTGATAAAGTGTTGATGTAAAAAACAAAGAATACTCTGTACTTAAGTGTTCATATAAGTGTTATTAAAAACTGAAGAATTCTCTGGGCTTAAGCGTTTGCATAAAAACTAAATAATATTTTGGGCTTAAGTGTTCGTAAAACCGAAGAATACTCTGGACTTAAGTGTTCTTAAACACTGAAGAATACTCTGGGTTTAAGCGTTTGCGTAAAAAACAAATAATACTTTGGGCTTAAGTGTTCGTAAAACCGAAGAATACTCTGGACTTAAGTGTTCTTAAACACTGAAGAATACTCTGGGTTTAAGCGTTTGCGTAAAAAACAAATAATACTTTGGGCTTAAGTGTTCGTAAAACCGAAGAATACTCTGGACTTAAGTGTTCTTAAACACTGAAGAATACTCTGGGTTTAAGCGTTTGCGTAAAAAACAAATAATACTTTGGGCTTAAGTGTTCGTAAAACCGAAGAATACTCTGGATTTAAGTGTTCTTAAAAACTGAAGAATACTCTGGGCTTAAGCGTTTGCATAAAAAATGAAGAATAATTTTGGGTTTAAGTGTTTGTTTAAAAAACGAAGAAAAACTGGGCTAAAGTGTTCTTTAAAACCAAAGAATACTCAGGGATTAAGCGTTCACGTAAAAAAC